ATGAAACAAATTCAACTACCTATGAACAACATTATTTATTTTATAAGCCATTTAATATAATGAAAATTCCAATTGCTGAAAAGATCTAAAATCAATCATTGATTTTGAGCAAGGTTCTACAAATCTATTGAATTATAACAAAATTTTCGAATAACAAAAAAAAATCCGATGCTTGCTAATCACATATGTTATGTGCGCGAACATATGATCAATCATCTGTTTCATTTACAACGATACTGACTTATTAACTATTCATTATGTTTGTCTTCGTCTAGTGTGACCATCGTATTTTAGTGATATATATATATATCTAACTTAACAATAGTATTTTCAATAGTAAATCAACAAGTTAATATTTTTTATATGTAAAGAAAGTGAGGCGCGAAAAAAATTTGACTAACAACAAAACTCAACAAGATTATTTCATTCATTCAAATTTACATATTTTCTTCAATACTATCAATAATGTCGTATTTTCAACATTGTCTATAGTGTAACAATAACAAAAACAAAAAAAGAAATTTATTATCTATATTCACATAAACATTCATATATAATCATTAAATTTTATTATGAAGATTTATTTGAATTAAAATCAATTAAATTTTAATATTATCTTCATGTTATCAATAATATCCTAATCATTTTCAAGTGATTTAATTATTTATAATTTATTACTCCATTAAATTTTTCTCTTATGGCTCTTGCAACTTCTATGCGATTATCTACTCCATTACCAACAATTAATACTGAAGAAAAATCAACAAATATAATTCCTTCTAGTCCAATATCAACATCATCTATAACGAATAATAATTTAACAAAATTATATAAATATTCACAAGAAACTGAAATAAAATCATATGTTGATCAAAATGGAACAATTCGTCAATATCGACAATCAACTGAACGTGCATTACTTGCTCAAAGAAAAATATTTCTACGAAAAAAATTAGGTGAAGGTTCATTTTCATCTGTACGAGAAGGTTTCGATATATTTCATCAACATAAAGTTGCTATTAAAGTAAAAAAATGAAAATAAAATTCTTTGATTTATTTTTATTAAAAAACAAAAAAAAATAAATTAATTTAATAGATAGTTGATACACAGCGAGCTTCAAAAGATTTTCAAGAAAAATTTTTACCACGTGAATTAGATATTTGGCCACGTGTTAATCATGAAAATATTATTAAAATGTATGATCATTTTATTGAATGTGGAAAAATTTTTATGGTTAATTAAATTTATCTGAATTTTTTTAAAATAATTTATTTTTTATTAGATACTTGAATTTGCTTCACAAGGTGATCTTTTAACATATGTTCAACGAGTTGGTGCTATACCTGAACAAAAACGAACATTATGGTCTTATCAATTATGTAATGCAGTTAAATATCTTCATGAACTTGAACTTGTACATCGTGATCTTAAATTAGAAAATCTTTTACTTGATATCAATGGTAAGAAAAAATAATAATTAATTAATTTATAAAGAAGAAAAAAAATCGAATTCTTTATTTTAGATAATATGAAATTATGTGATTTTGGTTTTTCAAAAGATGTACTTAAATGTAAAGAATATTTAAGTAAAACATATTGTGGTTCACGTGCATATGTATCACCTGAAATTTTACTTGGATTACCATATGATGCAAAAAAAGCTGATATATGGGCTATTGGTGTTATTTTATATATATTTGTTACTGGTGTTGTAAGTTATTTTATATTGAATTTGAAATTTTAATCTCTATATATTTAAAATTATTAGATGCCATTTAAAGAAGATAAAAATAATCAATTGATTTTAAAACAAGTTTGTTCAAGATTTGTTTTTTTTTTCTTTGATCTTTTATTTTTAAGAGTGCTCTTCCCCATCCACCGCTTTTCTAAGGTTTCTGGATGCTGTCTTCTACGAGGTACTGGAAGGACAATAGCAAAAAATGATCCTCCCTCCTGTTTCTTCCAGATGCTAGGTTCGGTCAAGCTGAAAATTTTTTTAAAGGTACTAGGTACTACTCGGTATAGATATCTTTTTATTTTTGTCTTTCGAATAAAAAAACTACTCGTTCCAAACAGTATATACAATATGTGAAAAAAGTTTCAGGCCAATGGGACGTACTAGGCCTGAGAAACGGAAGTGTTTCTGCACCTTTTCATGAAAAATTTTGGATCATGGGAGGGGAGAGAGTTAGTGTGCATTTTTTGCATGACAAGCGGACATGTGACTTTCTTGCTCGGAAACGTATTTATTTGTTCAGAAATGATTAGATATGACGCAGAAATTTAGTTTTAAGAAAAAAAAAATCATTTTTGGGGAAAAATTTTTCCGTCAAAAAATGCCTGAGGGAAATTCTTGTTCTCATTTTTTCGTCAAAATTGTTTTGTGTTATATATCATTCGACGCAGTTTATTGTGTTAATTCTGAATATACTACTTTTGTTAAATAGATATTTTTTCAAAATCACAAAAAATGAAAAACCTAGGTTTTTTTGGAAACCTACTATGCAGTTTAGAAATGTTTGTGATAGCATGGATTAGAGACACTAGATAGAACAACATTCTCGTAAAATTTTGAAAAGCTTGGAAGTTAGATATAGGTGATATGGTCATTCTACGGGACTAGCAGTTTGATGACATTGTAGAACAAAATATTATTCTTTTTTTTTCAGAAGTGAAACAAACAAATTAAAAAATATTTTTTACTAGTGTATAGAGCTCGACTTATGAATTCAGAAAATGTACTTGATTTGTCTGTCGAACAGCTTACTTTTGTTAGATATGAATTTTTCCGATGACATCTTGATTTTCAGGTTAATTTTTGGATAACTAGTTCTTCAGTTTCTTTGACGGTTGTAACAAAGTTATTTATACCATCAGATAGACCGTATTGCTAAAAATATATTTTTCTATATTCAGATCTTGAAAAAGCGCGATTTTCATTTTTAGCCAGATATTCTTCTAGATACACACTGACTGTGGGAGAGGGATAACCTTAAAGGAAAATATTATTGTTTTCTTTTAGCATCAAAAACTTCAACTTCATTGGTCAAATGAAAATGAACGTGAACAATCGGCACGTAATCTTATTCTTAATATATTTACATATGAATGGCAAAAACGACCTAATATTCAACAAGTTAGTACACATCCATGGTTTACAATATCTCAAACATCGAAGATAATATCAATGCCAATTATACGATCTAATCGAACGGCAACTAAACGTAAAAGTCGTTCATCTTAAACTTTTTCTTAATTCGTCTGTCAAATGTTTTTTTTCTTTTTTTTCTGTTCAATTTATTGTTAACAGTGATTTTTGTTCTTGTTGAAACATTAAATTAGTTGGATAAATCAATTCATTTATGAAGAAAGTGACTAATCACCAATGCACTATAAATATCTATAGAAACAAAGATGACACGAGTATAGTTTAAAAACGTGACATTTTTTGCTATGGCAGCAATTGAACATTTGTAATGACAAAATGAGAGCCTTTTAATTATAGATGAAAATATAATTTGACCAAATTACTTTGAATAATTTCTTAGATATTCCCACTAGCAATTGATTCGTAATACTTTTATCTTACAGACAATAATTAATTTATATAGAGATAGGAACTGATCTTTTATTTAATGTATCTTTATAAGATTCGAATACTCCTGTCCACATTTCACATGATATAATATTAGATGATATTTTTACTTATAAGAATAGTACTATAAATAGAAACATACAAAATTCTATTTGACTGATTCAAATAATAAGTTGGTTACAAAAAACAAATATCAATTAAATTATCACATATTTTTACTCTACTAACTTTTATTACCTCGACAAGTCTTTTAGAAATTTGATCAATCATTCTTTCATCATCATTGCAACGTATTATTCTTCATTCTTTATGTAATCTAGTTTTAAATGTATAAAACTTCAAAAATTGTCTTCTGTATATTTTTTCCTTCAATATGTTCTATAAATTTTCGATAGATGTTTATTTCAGATGTTACAGTTTAAATGATCAATCAAACAATGTACAGAATCAACAGTTTAAAATGAGGAAAAGATATGAAAATGTTTCATTCTACAGTGTTTTGTTTTTGTTGGATAAGGGGTGTATTCATGTACTTTTTGTTCGGTTTGAATCGTTTGTTCAGAATATAGCCTGACTAATTATAATGTCAGTTACTCATCGCTCTTAGTAAAAAAAATAATCTCAGAGAGCAATTTCAGAAAACTGAGGCTTATACAGAATAGGAAAAGTAAAAATGGTCAAGAGGAAAATATGCTATGGCGATGTTGCAAACTATACCTAATTTTTTTTATGTAAACGTCTTTTCAATTGAGTTGATTATGAAACAACGGGAATAAGTGCAACATCCGTATTAACTTGTAGATCAATGACTCTTTTCAACAATAAAATGAATTAAAATACTAATAAAATTATTGAAACATTTTTTCATGAAATGTTAAGTAGACAAAAACAATTTAATGCAAAAAAATAAAATAGATTCTTTCAATCAAATAATGGATTTCAAAAATAAATAGAAAAAATTAGAATCGTGTTGCTTGAACAAAGTTATAGATGAAAATTGAATTTTTTTACACCATATAGAAAGAGAAATTATTTTTCATGAAAGAATTGAATTAAAAATATAAATAAAAATTTCTAAACATATATATTTCTCTCACGAATTTGAAATGAGAAAACAAATTTTTTTGCAGCTTAGAATACTCTAGAGAAAATCAATCAATTTATATTTATAAAATTAATACAAATTTGAAGAAAAATAAAAATAAAAGTTTTTAAATTTCTTGTTTTCTTCATTAAAACTGCAAATGAAAAATTAGATTTCTCTACAAAACAATCAGGGGTGGCTCGAGCGGAAGCTGAAGCGGGAAAGTCATCTTTCAACCTTGAGAAATTTCGATTTTTCTCAGCGAAGTTCCAATGTTTTATTCGTTTTTTTGCTCACTAATTCTCAACAAACCGCTCAACTCCAGCTGAATCCAATTAATTTTAACGAAAATCTTCCAATCGATCTCCTGAGTAATAGCCCCTTCTCCTTCCGAACTCTGACGATCACAGGACACTTCTGAAAACAATAAAAACAAATTATTTCAAGAACAAGTTATTCTATTAAAAATTCATTTTTTTAATCTTTTCAAAATTGATTTCTCATAAAATCGTTGTATTTTATTTTATTTTATACTTTTGCTTTTTTTTCCATAGATACAACAGACTATTATTGATTGGCTCGTTGTTTTTAACTTTTCCTCTTCCTTGCTTCATATTGTCTGTACTTGTGTATCAGACTATCTATAAATAAAAAGAAAAATCTTTAAATTTGAATTATTATTAACCATTATAACAAAAGTCACATGTGCAAAGACATAAGTGATCATATTCTTTCTCTCATTCCTGCGCTGTGCTTCTTTTCATTCCATTCGTATCGTTTCATCCAAGCCTGTAAGGTAGCTTTATAGCTCTGCTAAAGAGATTCAACGGCCTGTTGATATGTGTAAGAGTGCATGGAGTGGCCTTTAACATACATGAATGCTCAATGTTCTCGTTTCGTACGATATACATGCATGTATGCGTGCTATATCGTTACCAGCATCGTCCACTATGTGATTTCAGAAGCAACCGAGGGTCTCTCTGGTCGCGTGTTATGGTGAATATACATTATCATATTGAAAAAGAATTTGTAATGAATCAAAACAAATAAGATCATAATCCAATTCGTGATTACTATGATCGTCTAAAATTTCAAATATCCAAAGTTTTATTTTTTTCTCTTTTGCAGGAAGATGATGAAATTAAGTTCAAAATGAAACAACTCAATGACGCGTGGAAATAAAATGGGACTGTTTAACAATTTTTTTATTCTAAATGGGATAAACTGCTTCAAGGTCATAAGTCATTAAAATAGACTGATTTTTGTCTTTTATGAGAAATGTTTTGTAGTTTCTCGTAAAAACAACTCTCGTTTTTCTTTGTTACTAAACTGTTACTTGTTGTTTTTTTGAACAAATAAAATTGATGTATTTTTTTCTCAATAGGAAACATTTTTTTCTAGTGGCAGTTCATGACGAGTACCTTAGATTTATTATTGTATCAAAAAACCATAAAACTAAAGAGATTTTATTGATTTCATTTTAACAATTCAAATCACATGCCGGTAGAAATTTTACAAACGTTCATTCGTAAACAACAGTTAGATAAATGTTTTAACTTTATTCTACTATGATTTAGTCAATGATAAAAATGATGAATACTGTTTAATTAATTAAAGTCATATTCAAAATGAAATAACACACTAAAGTCTTTCTATAATGATAACTTATCTACGGAAATGATTTCAACAAAATTATGTTAGATAAAGAATTCGCGTAGAGAAATATTTTCACGTTGATTCATCCGGAGTCAATTGACCTACGAACTGAAGATGAGTGTTTCATAAAACTTGGAGCGTGACTAAATTAGTTTATATGCAGATAGCAAAATAATCTCTTACCAGCTGTTTTTTTATGGGCCTTGAGTATTCGTGTCAATCTTTCAAATGACATATTATTGGATAATATCTTCTCTTCTAATAATAAAAATATAAACAAAAGAATGTGACAGTAAGTTTTTCGCTATCGATCAACGTCATTTTTTTAAAGATTTTATACTAAAATGCTGAACATTTCTACACAAAACATAATGTAGTAGAAATCAATAATTATTCATCTTATTCACTCGCTCCACGCTCATCATGATCCATTGGTTACATGCTCAGTTCAACTATGTACTTAGTCACCACAGTGAAATGGATAAAATATATGAAAACGTCGCATGCAGAACGATATACAAAGAACAATGAATGTATTTTGAACTAGTGATGGATTATTTAATAATTGAGTTTTGTCTCAAGAAGGTGACGACAAAATTGCAGACCTACAACCTACTGGAAGTGTATAAGGAATATTAAAAATATTAGTACAAGGAGAACAATTTTCAAGCTTCAAACAACATAAAATTAGATTGAACAAAGAATGAAAAAAAACTTGTAATGACTGTTCAAAAAAGATTGATAAAATTTCTGACAGACTTGGTGAATTAATAAAAAGTGCTGAACAATTGAATGTACCATTTTTATTAATGAAAAATTACAAGCATTTAATAATCAAGAAATCAACAAAGACCTTCTTTGATTATTTAAATATTGTTGAACAAATATTACGATTATTATTTTCATATTGCAAAGGATCCATGAGGATGGGTGTAGATGTCTTCTCTTCACTTAAACCCACACACTCTTTTAGGCTTCTGCTAATCTCGCCAAGACGTCCTTGTAGGTCTAATATGAGCTCAAACGACAAGTATCAGTTCGGATTATTCTCCTTCGTTAGATTTAAAGAACAGAAACACTAAAAATTATGTAAGAACGTGTATAGATTCTCATCGGTAGGTATAGTACATCATCAAATAAGTTTAAAATTCATAGGCTAATTAATGACACATTATTCTAATTTCATTCTCTGAAAAATCAATACACTTTTTTTATCATGTAAACTTTTCTTAAATAAAGACGTTATGCATAAAGAAAAATAAGATGCGACATTAATATAAATAGACTCAAAAAAAAAACAAAAAAAAATAATATTTCTTTTGGAATGCGAATAAAAAATAAGTACGGATTGCAACTTTTGTCAAAATCATAGAAAATGAATTCCTTCAAAAAGAAAAAAGAACATTCAGTTGTAGTCTTTGTCAAGATAGTGCGAATCTTGCTAAACCAATATTAATAACAATAAATAAAAATGTCATTTGAAATTTTTCTTTTTTTCGTCATTAAGACAAGCTAAAAGAAAATTGTGACGTTGATTTCGATTTGCATGTGCATGTAAAATTGAAAGAGCCAATACATCGATACAAACATTTAAAATACTTTGTTGTGTATCATTATCATTTCTTTTTATCTGTTCTGATGTTGGCCAAGATTTTTGTAAAAGTAAAAGAAAACGAAAAAATAAATTTCTTTGTTTTGGTTGTAATTGTTCGATAATAAAACCAACAGCTTTTGCCATATGTTGTTGTTGAGATGAATTCTCATTCGGTATATGCGATTGTATAGATGAACCACTTGGTAATTGATATGAACGATTACTTGTAGTATTATTTCCTAAAAATATTTTATCTTGTATATCACGTGATATTAATGGTTCAGGTAATGATTGTAATAAATGTAAAAGAATCAT